GAGATGATACAAGAGCAGAATGAGATAAAAAGGGAGGTTGCAGGCAGAAGGAAATCAATTGAATACCAAAATATTTGATGGAACTAATAAATAAACTATAAATAGAAAGAACAGAACCGACACTGCTGAATATTGAAATACTGACACGGAGAAAAGACTGTAAGCACAGAAAATGCAGAGGGAGAAAGAGGAAATTAATTAGAAGTTAGTAGATACGCATGCTAGTTTGTTACAGGCTAAGTTGCGCTAACAAGGAAATCCAAAAATATAATGCCTTAAATAAAGTAGTTCCTTTTCACTCACAAAACAGTCCACAGGTGAGAAGTCCCGGGCTGGCAGGACCTCTTCCAGGAAGTCTTCCAAGATATGGTTCCTTCTGTCTTGATGCCCTATCACCTCCTCATTCCTGTGGTTACAGGACATTCTCATTTCAATGGTAGAAGCTGGCTCCTCCCCACACCCATGTTTCTGTCCACAGGAAGGCTACCAACAGCCCAGGGCAAGGGCAAGCACTTTAAAGAGATGCCCCAGGGGTTACACACCACTTCTGCCACGTCTTATTGGCCACTTGTCTACATTTAGCCACAGGGGACACTGGGAAATGTGGTCTTTAACTGGATAGCCCTGTGCTCAACTAAAATTCAGTGTTCTAATCTAAAAGAACCAGGAGAGAATGAATAGTCAGGAACCACATTATGGAAGGTAAAGATGAGCCAACATTTAAGGACACTCGATTGTCACCCACAGAGAGAACTCAGCAAACAATCGAGAACATGGATTCAGTGCCGTAACGCAAGAACGCGTTCTGGAAGTGAAGAAAGAACTGAATCTGCAGGTGGAAAGAAAACACTGAATCCCAAGAAATTTTGATTTAGAATACTTAACATAAGGGTATTTCCTAGTTAAACACCTGAACTTGAAAGTCAAAGAATCTTTCAGACATCCAGGCAGAAAAAAAAATCACCTGGAAGGGGTTAAAAAGAATCAGGCTGGCATCTGATTTCACGATATTCATTGTAGAAGACAATGGTGCAATGTCCACAGAGTTTTGAGAAAAGAAAGGATGACCCCAGATGTAATTCAAGTATCAAGGCTCAGGGAAGTATTTTACACTCGTTGGAAAGACTTGCTTGATAACCGAAGCCAGGTATTATAAAAACCCATCAAAATAAAGAACTCAAGCACAGAGAAGCCATGACAGAAGGACTGCTGATGAGCACTGGATCCATTTACACGTAGAACTAATACTAAACAATCATAGCAGTGATGGTTTCAAAACAGAACGTGGCTATTATAAATCTGGACAGTGTGAACATAATAATATAACAAACAGAAATCAGGAGGTGAGGGAGAGAAGATGGGAGTAGCAAGAAAGTTCTAATGTTCTCATCTTTTGAAGATGTAATATGTCATCCAAAATAAAAATGTGGTGGAAAAAAACCAAGTGTTTTTTATAATCACCTTTATTTAACAATGGAGCAGGGGTCCAGAAACTGCTGCCTGAGGGCTGACCACCTGTATTTGTAAATAAAGTTTCATTGGAACACAGATTCACTCATTAATTTCCATATCATTTATGTTACTTTTCAGCTATAAAAAGAGACCTGAACCGCCTAAAATATTTACTGTCCGGCCCCTTTAGAAAAAATTTGCCAACCCATGCAGAAGAATCTTTTTTAACTCACAGGAATCTCGTGGTAAAGAAATATTATTTGAGGCTCAATAATTTGTTGGGTTTCACTCGGCCTTTTTCCTTCCTATTAAATTCATGTCAAATTAAGTTTAATAATGTAATATAAATCCTATTTTTATAAAACAATGTATCAATCATTCCAAAGATGTTAGGGATAATGGATCGCCTAATGATATTCGGTATGGTTTCTTAAACTTTCATCTTCGTGTTTTTCTGCATTATTTGGAATCTATAATGAACATATATCATTTCTACCAGAATAATAAAACAGAACGGTTGTTCTGTTTGAAAACACAGGAGCAAATATACCAAGATGTTAACAATGATTAATTCTGGCTGTCAGCAGTACCACTGCTGTTTTCCTTCTTTAAGCTTCTCTGTATTTTTTAAATATTGAAAAACTTTTAAGCTATTATAGAAGATTTAGGCATAGAGTGATAGAGTTGTGAATTATAGTTTTGGAAACAGTTCATGAGAAGTACCAGACAGCAGGGACATTTTTCTGTTTTTAATATGATTCTTTTACTAGTGGTATACAAACTGCAAAGCATGGTTCAGCCTAAAATATAAAGCCTGACATCAAACAGAAGCCAGAGAAGCAGATGATATTTGAATTCTGTTAGGCGGTCAGCACATTCACAAAGCTGGTTTCTTTAATTTGCATGAATCGGAACCTACCTTTCCAGTCTCATCCCCCACCTTACCCTCCTGCTATACACAAACACACCCCAGCCACAAAGTACCCTGCACCTTCAGTGAAATCTTCATGCATTTGTGTCCTATTTTGCTTTGTCGCCACCATTCTTCCTGCCTACAATTGCATCCTCTTCTCCACGTGATGTAATTCATTGCTTCTTTTAAGACGCAATTTAAATATCCCTTACTGCAGTACGTCTCAACCGTAGCTGCACATTAGGATCACCTGGGGAGCTTTATAAAAATACCGAGGCCCAGGCTCCATCCAGCACAGCGATTCTGATTTAACTGCCCAGGGTTGGGGCCCAGGCAGCAGTATTTTTAAAAAGCTCCCTGAGTGATTCTAACATCCAGGCAGGGCTGAGAGTCACTGCCATGCCTTCTGTGACACCAGCAGGCAGAGTTAATCACTCCCTCTCCTGCACTCTCATAGCTCTTAGATTTTTCCAGTGCTCACAAAATTTAATGCTTATTGTATTAAAGTTAGTGTTATATAGGTGTAGTAAGTGCTCAGTAAACACTGGAGGTTGTTACCGCCTTTCTCTTTCCAACCAAGCATGCGCAGAAGCGGTTATCCTCACCATGGGAACCGGACAGCAGAGTGGACTCGCGTGTGGTACCCACAGACACTGGCTGCAGGATTTCCTTCGATAAGCTTGCCAGGATGTCATCCCTCCATGCCTACACACACACAAACACACACACACACACACTCCCCTCGTTGCATTTCAGCATAGCCCTAGCCCTTGGGTCCAGCTTTCACATCGTTGAGATGGATGCAGTTTAAAGAATTAAAGAAACCAGTGTTAATAATGCGCTGACTGCCTGACAATCCGAATTATCGTCTGCCTTCCACCTTCTCCTTGGTGTCACACTTTACGTTGAGTTTTATGTTGGCTCTCGCAACTTGAGCGTTCAAGAGCACGACTGTCAGGTGTACCTTGTCAAAGGCTTTCAGAAAATCCAGATGAACAATTCTGTGAGCCCCGAAACTGCCAAATCTATATCTTACGCCTTCACAGTGCTTGACAATTTTATGTAAGCGGAATCTTTCTTTCTTCCTTCGATTTACCTTTGCCTCCCCGACCCTGAGATCAATCAGACAACGAACGGGAGACCCTTCAGTGTTTGATACTGAATAGCCTCGTCTGTATTTGTGCCACGTCTGGAACACAGCGCACTGGGTGATTAGCCCAGCCTCCTGGATTTGGAGGAGCTCCTGGGAGCTACTCCTGTCTGGAAGTGAGGTCCGGAGAGGAGAGCTGAGGATGAGGGAAAGAGACCACGGGGGGATCAGCAAGGTCCATGGTAACACCATGTGCACACCCCCTCTCATCAAGGCAAGACCCGTAGCTCCGCCCTTTCTGCATACACGAACAATCTTCTCTTTCCTGTCTAAAGTCCTGTTTGTAATCACTTTAAACTGTCCTCACCAAACATCGCCAAAGAATTTGGTGTCCATGGGATGGTAGTTCTTATAGTTTCCCTTAAGTACCACATCCTGCCAGTGGGGCCCTAAAACAACTTTGTTCACAGACATTTCCTAGCCAGCAGATATTTATTTTGTAAAAGGATTTCCTCCCCCGAGGCTTGATGAAAGGTCAAGACTTTCTTTATCCTTAAGGTCACCACAACCGTGATGAACAATAGATGTGCCACAACTGAGTCCAATGGCAAATTTCCCTAACGCAAAACAAGATTAATCTTAAAATTTGATCATCTTTGCACATCCAGTCACTCTGTGTGACCTGAGACTAACCTACCAACCTTTCTGACTTGGTTCTTTATTAGTTAAATAGCAAACCATTACCTAGTTCCTTTGGAAGTTATGCAAATTAATGCTGGAAAAATGACTGGAAAATTTAAATCAGTGTATAAATACCAAACAGTTCCATCTTCCCTGCTGAGAGGGCCCAGGTAATTCATAACCTCCTATAATAAAGGTAAAAATAGTGTGCTTGGGCTATACAATTAAATGTGATTTATCTGCAATGCATATAATCTTTGAAATCCAGAAACCACTGAATAGAAACAATTCATATTTCATAATTATAATAAAAGGATTTAATGACTTTAGGAAAAGTAATCCTCTACTGTAAGTGATCTAAACATCATGTCTTTAACCATTTCTCAGATCTGCAAGAGTCTACTCAGAGTTCGTCCTGAACCTGTTAATGTAGACATATTTATCTTTAAATTCTCCCAGTTTTTTTTTAATCCTCAAAGCCCTTAATGTGTATTTCCTAGAAAATTCGCCTGTACAAAACTTTGCTGTATTCAAAGCCTCCTCTGTCAAGATTTAGCACTTTTATATTGTAGTCATTAAAATTGAACAAAATCTTAATAGTTCCTTTATTAACTACTATACTGACTCTCCATAGTGGAAATCGCAACATGTTAATTGGATTTAATTAACTATTTTAAATTACACAAACTCGTGACAGTAGACAAGAGCACAGGGTACTCATGAGCAATAAAACGGGAGCTTATATTGCTACTTGATTAAAACTTAATGAAACTATTCATAATCTTATTTATTGTTTACAAGAAGAAAACTGTGTTCATTTTGATGGCAAAAATGTCTGCTGAAAACCAATTTTTGATCATTTAGGTGAAGGCTCCGAAGTTAATAAAAGGGTCCACCGTATCCAACCTCACGGTTCTGCCAGCTTCTCACCGCTCAGATCCCTACTTCACCCCCATGCCAGTCTTACAAGAGGATGCCAATAAAGGTTAGTGATTCAGTCACCATTTTATGTGTTTAGGAACACAAGGGAGAGAGCACTGAGGTGGGACTTGGGGCCCGAGTTTGCATTCAGACTCAGCCACTAATTCTCCGAGGTGACCTCAGGCAGGTCAAGTCCTCACTCTGGCCTGAGTTTCCTTCTCTGTGAATCTGAAGGTTGGACCAGATGATCGCTGGAGTCCCTTCCCACCACTAAAAACCATCATTCTATAAATTTACTGTTGATTTCGATGCCGGTGTTAGTACATAATGAAATTATTATTGTGTTTAAGTGATATCACTATAATTTTTCAAGCTTCCGAGCAGATGGTTTTTGATGTTTTTCTAGTAGCACGTAAAAATGTTATTTCAATATACTATTATGCAAAAATATGAAGCCAGAATTAATGTAATGAGCATTTAAACTATGCATGTCTCGTCTAAATACCAGGTTTGTGAAGCCAGGGAAGATCTCGTTTTTAAGCCAAAGGTCATGTCATCTTTATCTCAGCATCCCCAGTGCTTAGAACCATAGTTAGCATTTTGTAGATACCAAATGTTGGTTGAATGAATAAGCAAATGAAAGAGTAAGTGGGTAACAAGGGCTGAGCATCGTAAGTCTATCCCTCTGTACCTCTCCTTGCTACTTAATTGGTCGACATGTTAAAGAAAACCTAAGTGGACCCTCCTCTGTATCTCAACTATGACCAAGTGAGACGACCTTTAATTATTTCTTCCTCACTTTCTGTTGTCTGGAGTATTTTGGACCTACAGATGGTTCCCCAGGGGTCTTCTGGTACTTGAAGATGTAAAAGCCTCCATCTTGTAGCTCCTGTATCCTGTCTGCTGACCTGGTGGTGGAGGTGCAGCAAAACTCAAGAGAACCCAGCATCATTATAAGTCTCGTAATTTATTAAACATCCCACAGCTGTAACAATGAACCTAGTTGTGAACCGTTATTGTTCAGAAATCTTTGGGACTCCTGTCTTTAGTTAGTTTACGTCATATTTACTCTCCAGGAAAACTCCAGCAGAGTTCCATTTCTTGCTTTAATACCATCTCACATTGTTCCTGGGTCAAATTAGGATGAATAAAATAATGAATCAGTGAATCAAATCGACCTATTTATTCTTGCTCTAGCAATAGACACAATAAAAAAAATTGCTGCAAACCAAGGTAAATCTAGAACCGTGGTAACTTGGTCCAGAAAAACATCACATTTCCATCCCTCAATTGTCTACCAGAGAACACATGCCTACCATAATATTTGTGATTAATCAACCAATTAATCAAAGCATATTTACTGAGTGCTTGCCATATGTCTGGTAGGGTGTGAGGTAACATGAATGCCAGGAGAGCATAAGCCACAGAAATGTAGATACAATGTCCAGAATTTCACATGTCCTGATGCTCTTAACTGTCAGTTACGTCAGCCCAGATCTGCACAAGTCCTGCATGTGCTGAAAGATTAACAACATCCAGAAGAGAGAATAGTTTTGGAAAATGCATGGCAAACTTCTCTACTTTTTCTTGAATTATCTTGCTAAATCCAATGAAAGCTTTTCCCCTCTCCCCCCACCAGTAGTGAAGAATATAAGTCTCATAATAATAAACCAAATTATCAATTCAGGCTCTGTGTGACCTCGGACAAGCTGCTCTCTGATCTCAGAATAAAGTCTACAGTCTATAAACAAGGCATGCCTGACCTGGCCTCACCTCCATGCTCCTCTCACTCTGCTTCTCTGCAGAGCCTTCTCTCTGTTCCTTATCAGGCCAAGCACTTTTTTTACATCAGGCCTTTACAAGCGCTTTTACCTCTGTCTGTAAAAGTCATTTCCTCAAGCATCTGTCTTTTTCCTTTATGGATGATCACAATTTGTGGTTATATATTTATTTGTGAATTTAATGTCTTCTCCACCACCAGAGGCTCCAAGAGGCCTGTCTGGCTCACCAATGAATCCCCAGACCCCAGGATAGTTCCTGACACATAATAGGCACTTAAATATTGGTTGAATGAATGACAGATGAATGAACTTCTAATTGCTAATTTAGTCAACAGGAAAGTAAGAATGTTATGAACATTTCAATGAGATAATGGTGTTAAGAGATAATTTTCAAAAAGCAGGTAAAATCCTGACTCTTATACAATATACAATGAACACATGTCAAAGATTTTATTTATTGAACTCATCAGTTAAAAGAGAGGACCTGTAAGATATCACAACTGGTCCAAAGGAGAACCCAAACGACACATCTTTTTAGATCAAGAACATTGAAATAAAATTGCAAATAGATGCAAAATTGGCATTTTTATGGAAAGGAAGAGTGTCCCTTCACCAGACAGAATTTATTTTCACATCTACAAGTAAGAATTATTTGCATTATTGTCAGTTCTTTATAAATTAACCTTAATCTCTGAAGAGTTATAAAACAGCCTAGTCAAAGACAGTTCCTGGAGGCATTCCATTGGAAAGGTATCCAGTCATCTCTTTTGCTTATTCCAAAACGTTAAAAAAAATTTGCTAAAATCTTCCCGTTTTGATACAAAATGATTAAAATAATATTCACAAAATAAAGCTGGTCTCATTAGGTTTGACCTGATTATTTATTTAGGTGCAGCAAGAATGCTGACTCACCATATAAACCATCTTAAGTTTGCTCTTCTGGAAATTTCCATAAGGAATCTCAGATTGTACTTTTAAAGTCCTCTATTATTTGCTATCTTGAGGCAAGGAAATCAAACCCAAGAAACTGTCCACCAGATTTCAACTACAGGAACCTATGAATTTGGGCAAATTCCTCTCTTCTAGAGATGCTCCAATATCCTGAAGTTCTTGGGCCTGCGAGGAAGTGACATTCCTCACAACCTGTAAGGTTGGAAATCCTGTAAGCCATGTACCAGGCCAGTTTTTCTGGGAGGGCTTTGTAAGCACTGCTTCTATAAAGTCAACCTTAGTTCTTTAAAAGTAACTTACTTATCATACCTAATTAATAGTGTCATTCTTAAGTATGAAATTCCAGGCAAGTCCTTGGTTGCAAAACCAATTTTTCCAATTATATTTTAGAAGAGAATAGATTTTTACTGAAACTATCCAAATAACTGTATTACCAGGAAACAGAAGGAGGTTCGATGAGAGTTTCTGAATTTGGGAGGTGAACGAGCTCATTTAAAGTCTTAGGAGTTCAATGTCCTTGTTTTCTGGGCATTTTAGGAATATTCAATTCCTACAAGCACTCATTTCTCTCTATAAGTCAATCAGAACAGAGCTCCTTTAATTTGAGATTTTAAAATTTATTAATACCGTCTGGAGACAGGAAAACATTCTGCAATCACATGGGAGATAAAGGCCTTCTTGGACCACAGATACACAGACATAAAGATATAGAGAGAGTTTATAGCTTTGATTCTACAATTCCAGCCACAGATGAAAACGAAACACAGAAACATAAAAATGTAACAGCCCAGATACCAAAAAGTTAGTCTTTTTCCTTGTGGGCATGAAAATCCTGACTGGATTGAGCTCAGAGTACAGAAACAGACAAACAGAAGGCTACAAACCATATTCTCTATTGTGTCTCCCTCAACAGGGAATAGATCTCTGTTAAGACCCATTTACAGGGGGAGATACCAAATTCCCAGCCTTTGTGGCTCCCAACAAGGAATAACTTATCAGCCATAAACAAGCCAAAAAGAAGAACAAAACCCCAAATTAATGGGGAGTAATATTAAAATTAGAAAAACAAGAGTCAGCAAAGTTCTGTCGCCACTCTGAATTCACCTATAGGTGCCAAGAAAGTGAGTGTCTGGGCGTGGTTTCCTGTGCGAGGCAGCATCTCTGGCAATCTCAGGTGAATCTTCCGCTCATCTTGGTGGGATCCCCAAAACTGTTCAGAGATGTATACTTTTTAAAGTAAACCCATGCCTCGTATACAAATATAAAATGAATATGTCAAAGATTCTGTTTAACTCATTAATTAAATGCGGGGACGCGTAAAATGTTACAACTGATTCATAGGAAAATTCAAATAGTAAACACATTTATGTATCAAAAATACAGAAATAAATTTGCAATCATTATTTTTACTGAAGTCTTCTTCAGCTGCTCCATCCCTCAGCGATCATTTTTCTGAATTCCTGTAACACTAAGCTTTAACATCCTGAATGTCGACATACAGAGGTCACAGGCAAATGAAAATATTTGTCCCTCTTAGAACGTGTGCCAACTTCTTCAGCCTCATCCAGCTTAGGACACAGTGTTTTTACTTGGATTTCATTGGGACCCAGAGTTCTTTATTTTTCTTCCTGTAACCCGAGAGCAGTAAGAAGCTGAAACCTTATCACATGTCTATGTCAAGCACTCCCTGAGTTTGTGTTTCTGGCTTCAATACAATAGATCCACCTTAATGTGAGTTTTGCCCCTGACAGCAGGCTTTGCTCAATTATTCATCTACTCATTGATTTATTCATTTGTTCATTTTTTGAAAACAGTGTCCTCCTGTCCTTAAAAAGCCTTGGCACCAGGCATACTGACACCGTATGAGTTCTAGGAATTGTAAATGAGTTGTATCAATCCTAACCATGTTGTTCAGTTACACTAAAATAACCTATTTGGGCATTCACATCTTCTAGTAATATGAGAAATGTCTAAAAAGAACTCTTTTTTCCCATCATAGTTTTTTTTTATTGAAGCATAGTAGATTTACAGTGTGTGAATTTCTGGTCTACAGTGTATTGATTCAATTATACATAAATATATTCTTTCTCGTATTCTTTTTCATTATAGGCTATTATAAGCTATTGGATATAGTTCCCTGTGCTATAGAGTAGGACTTTGTTGTTTATCAAAAGCTCTTTTTTAAAATAAACTATGACTTATTATAACAACAGAAGCATAGTTTCAAGCACACAGATTTTTCTTTCAGAGCCAAAGATCTCAGTTAATAAGACTGCATCTCTGATTTCTCTGAATTTTAAGAAGAATAACCATATTGTCAATAATTGAAAATGCCGTTAAGTATAAAGAAGCTTTAGTTTGCACTGAAATCGTATTTCTCCTTTAAAATGAAATTATCGTAGTATAAGTTTATTTCATAAAGCCTCTATTAGAAATGCATTTTTCTTGGGTTAGAACATTAGGCGTAAATGAACGGGTGTGATAGTTGTTTTTTCATGCAGAGGGTTAAGGCATTAGATGGACCCCCACAATACGATGATGAATACAGTACATTACACTTTGCAATTTACAGAGTTCAGACTTTGTGGAAATGCTTCAAGTTCAGCTCAGATTCTTCTAACCTTCCTTTTTAGGGATTCTAAGCATGCTAGAACGAGGACTGATTCCACCAACAGCAAGAATTACCTTTCAGAATCCACCCATCATACCCAGAGCGGCCCCTCTGCATAGCTTTGATGAAGCACGTAAGATTTCTTTGACTACCGGTAAGTCAGTCTTGCCTGTATCCTTAGTTGGGGATACACAGAAATTACCAAAATCTACCCTTCTAAGCATCTAACTTTCATCTTCAATAATAGGGCAGGATGAAAGCTATAATGACTCCAAGTTGGTATTTTCAAGGGACTTGCAGCTTGGTTAGGAAAATAAGACAGATATAATAAAGATAAATAACAGTACAAAGTATTATAGAATAAAAACCAAATGGCTGTTAAAGTCTAGCGCTATAGGTATTCAGAAGAAAGATTGCTGAGAGGTGAAATAGTAGAAGACGTCAAAGAGGAGGCTGGAAGAAACGGGATGCTCGAGAAAAGCCCTGACCTGGGGATTTACTAACTAGAGGCAGAACCTCAGGCAAGCCATTTACTTTCTCTGGGCCTCAGCTTTCCCAGTTATAAAATGAGGCTTTTGGTAGATGAATCCATCTGTTCAACAGATATTTGTTGAATACTTGCTTTACCCAAGGTAGCTGGGGATCTGACAGAGAATAGGTCAGACAACACTGCTCCTCTTGTGTTGCTTACGTTTTAGTGGGAGATGCAGATAGTAAGCAGGTAAGTGAATGAGAATTGAAGCTAAGGCTAAGTGCTACAAAGAACAGGACATACAGATTAGAGAGTGATCAGGAGGTGATTGCTTTGCTTGGGAGGGAAGGGTCAGGGAATGCCGCTACCTCTTGGAAGATGTTAAGGTCCAAACGATGAGAAGGAGCCAGCCATGTAAACACCTAGGGAAGAACATTTCAGAAGCAGGACGGCACAGGTGCGATGGCCCTGAGGACTAAGGAGGGAATGAGCAACAAGGCTAGTGTGACTGGAGGGCCAAGGAAGAGCAAAGAGATGAACAGATAAGGCTGGAGAGGTTGCGACAATTGACATGACGTAGGCTAGAGCGGAGGCTACAAGTTGTCCTCAATATGCATTCTTCCCTGCTTCTATAGTAATGGTCATGGGTGGGCACATGTCAGCTCAGCTAAAGACAACACTTCCTGAGCTTCCTTTCAGTTGGATGTGCCATGTGCCCAGACTGTGGACAATGGGAACGTCAGCAGAAGTGGAAAGGGAAATTTCTGGGCTGTGCCCTTTCGAAGCATGGCTTCCTCTTCTCCTTTTTCCATCTCTGGCTAGCTGGAATGCAGGTGTGATGGCAAGCACTTTGAAGCCAAAGATGGAACTGTGGGTTGAGTTCAGCGGAGATGCCCTGCTAACCTGGGGCTATCTTCCTTTCGACCCTTCTGTGAGAGAGAAATAAACTCTTAATTTGTTTAAGCCACTCGGTATATCTTAGGATCCTTCTCTTTAGACACCTTAGACTATGGCAGAACCAGCATGGAAGCCTTTCAAATCATGACAAGGGGTTGGATTTAATCCTAATTACAATGAGATCTCACTTTAAAGTTTCAGCCAGAGGACGAGGTGACCTGATTTATGTTTTAGTAAGACCATTCTGACAGCTTTATAGATAATGAAATCATAGGAGAGCATGAGTAGAAGCAAGACGGCTAGTTAAAAGGCTGTTTTGGTCAGCCAGGTGAGAAATGATGGTGTCTTTGAGGAGGATGGTATCGGTGGATATGAGGCGAAGTGAACAAATTCAGGTTATATTTTGGAAGTGGAGCCATGAGGGCTGGCTGATGGATAGGAGTGAGGGAAAGAGGGGCATCATGGAAAAATGTGTATGAATGTATGAATGAATATGTATTCAGGTACCCCAATTTTGTATCTACTCTACTGTTGATGGGAATTTCGGTGGTTTATGCCATCGAGCTATTAGGAGTCACACCACTATGAACATTCTTTTACATGTCTTTTACTGCAAATATGTATGCATTTCTGTTGGATACCGAAAAAAAGAACCACTGAGTCACAGGATATACACATGCTCAGATTTAGTAGATATCGCCAGTTTTCCAAGGTGTTTATACTGATCTATTTTCCTAGTAGCAATACATGAGAATTCCAGATAATACATATCTTTGTCAACACTTGATATTCCCTTTTCTTTGTTTGTTTTGCCATCTTAAAGACACTGTTGTGTTATTTCTTTGTGAGTGTAATTTCTATTTTCCTAATGACCAATAAAGTTGGTCAATTTTTTTTTTAATATGTGTATTGGTCATTTGGATATCCTCTTCTGTAAGGTGATTTAAAATTTTAACTTTTTTTTTTAAATAAATGAGTCATCTTTTTTTTTTTCTGGGTGTGGAATCTCAGGTGGTTTAATCTTTTTTTTTAACTTTTTTTATTGATTTATAATCATTTTACAATGTTGTATCAAATTCCAGTTAGAGCACAATTTTTCAGTTTTACATGAACATACATATATTCATTGTCACATTTTTTTCTCTGTGAGCTACCATAAGATCTTGTATATA